CTTTTAGGTGTCTTTTCCACCAACATTTCGAAAGACTTCAAATAAGAAGGAACATATATAATAACCAATTCACCAGTTTTAACATGAGCAGCAGGAGCTAGAAGGTTATTGATATACTCGACCCATGGGATACTCGGGAATTTTTCTTGGAGCTGTTCAATGGACATGGGATTGTATAAAACGGTCATGTTACGTCGTTCCTCGTTGGGTAACGATATCTAAAATAATGATTATAATGAAAATAAGAAAGGGATGATGAGTGAAAAGTTACCTTTGCTAGTTGCATTTCAAATTCTAGTGACGCTTTTAATTCGATAGTGGCGTTTTGCCTCTCAGCACCGAAAAGAACAGCCAAGTCCACCATGTAATCGTAATAGGCTTTAACTATCTTATCTTCGAGGCCTTTAATGAGAAATTCTCTTCTTAGTAAAAAAGACGGTTGGTCCAACTGAAATAATACTGTTATTAATTATTTGTGTTATTTTATAGTTTTGGTATTAAATTTTTATACAAACGTTAAATAAACACTTCCAAAATTGCTTATTGTGACTTTTCCATAAAAAAATGTTTCATATATTAATATTTTTAAATACCTGTCGTCCTTATAAATTTAATCCGTACTCAAGTATGATTTTTACAAATTAAAACGTTTTCGTGAAAATTAAAAATTTAATAGATATAATTTTAAGGACTCATACTCGTAGTTCTACATTCGACAATATTAAATTTCATGTTTAAAAATTATGTACTTACATAAATAACCCTGTTGGTAGAATTTTTAACATCACTCATAATAGAAAAACCTATAAAATGACTAAAGCCATATCCAAGCTTTCTAAATTTGTAAACAGACGTTTTCCAATCGAACTCACTTTCGTTCCAATTATTGCCTTCCAATACTGGCCATCCACCAAGTTGCTTTAGTATATTGTTTATTGTGGTCATTCCATCATCTTCTATAAGTGTTTTATTCATGCAGGCTTTGTAAAATTTCTTGGTAAGCTGAAACAAAAATTATACAATAATGATCAAGTCGCACTTTACTGAATATCACAAATTTGTGGGTTGCTTCCTTTTTGCAGAAAAAAAAATATTTTAGATAGTCTCGACTTTAAATTAAACCAAAATGCTGAAAACTATGTAGCAATTTACCTTAAAAGGTGTAAGTTCACTTTCCTTGATAGGTTCCTCGATCATGGTCCTCAACTGCTCCAACAACATATCACCAAGAATACTGAAGGAAGTTACTGCCGCTTTATCGTCAGGAATATTGGTAGTCTTGATAAAATTCCCGCAGGTAAATTGATAGAAATCGTCGCATGGGTCTACGGTTTCGTCCATGTATTCTAAGACCCGGGACGCAGCGTGTATGCAGCCTGGAGTTAGACATATTTCCATGGGTTCATCTTGATCGGGGGAGGTTATCGTTACTGTTTTTCCCTGTAGAAGTTCTGCTGTATACGGTTTATCTAAAAACAAAAGAAAATACTAATAGACAGTTGAAAAATTCAGAAGTTGCCATATATCGAAAGAAGAATTTCTTTCATTATGAAAATTATTTAAAAAAACGTTTAAAATACACAATTTTTACTACTGCGTCGTCAACAAAATGTTATGCATCAAAATATGAATACAATTAAAAATTGTTTATTTTAGATTTGTGTTTTCTCTAAGGTACTCAAATACAGCTGAAATTATAAATTAAAATAGACAGGCGACAATGGTAGTATTTTATAATTATTGCAGTTTAAGTACTTGTTGTGTTTAATTATTAATATATCAAAAAAAAAACAACAAATGAAATAAGCTAATGTTGATGAAAATATACGAAATATAAACAAACATATTTTATTGCAAACATATTTTTACGAATTTGTGCATCTCTGCCTAAATTTAGCCACGTTTTCAGTTTATTACGCCAAATTATCATAAATCACCCATAACGTTTAATCCCAGAGTCATCTGTGGTTGATCACAAGAACACCACCTATCGTGTATTCTTATTCCAAGATAAATTAGTCTGCTACTCATGCAACCAAGAGTACAGCAGCTAACTTCAAAACAGCACCGCAAATACAAATTACAATCACTTGATAACCCTGATGCAAACCATTTATCCAACAAACAAACCTTTTGCTCGCAACCGATTCCCGCATGCACATTTGTAAGTAGCAGACGCAACATAAAATCGTGAAATGGCGAACTGCAATTTGTATGTAACAGACTTAGTACAACCAAAACTGCTAACACGTCTGCTACATTCGCGTGATTGCAATTTGTATGTAACAGACGTAGTACAACCAAAACTGCTAACACGTCTTCTACATACGCGTGATTGATTATTATAGCGCAAAACAAAGCACTGCTCTATTTGTCAATTCGTATTTTGTGGTCGTTCGTGCCAATTTAACCAAACACGTTTTTATTTATATCTGTCTAAAGAAAATAATATGAATGAAATAAGTGAGATTTGGTTTCCGAAGCTGTATGATTGGAAGGTAATTAATAAATCCACCTACAAATTAAGAATTAAAACAAAAGAAGATGTAGAGGTATATAAACAAAATTTCTGAGTTATGTTTTTGGGCGCTTAACGCTCTGATATGTATAAAAGCCAAAAGCCTGCCGAGGACTCTTTTTGGTAACGTTTTTTTTGAGGAGCATGGAGATTATTTTATATTTTTTCGTGTATTAAAGGTGTGTTCCTTGGGTTTTAAACTGTAATTTATATTATTTTTTCGGTTGATAAGTATATTTATATCTAAAAGCGTATAGTAAAAGGTTTAGCCATAAGGGCAGCGATGACTTAAAAATTCATCAGACTCGTACAAAGTAATAATTATCGTTAATTAAAAACTGAGATCAGATATTGATTAATCACAAAAAATGCGATGTTGCCATGTAAAATATGCAGGGTTATCGTTCTAAAACCTGAGATTGGCTACTGCATTACTGCATTCAAATATAAAGGCATTTCTTCAAAAAATAGGACTTCTGCCATAGCAACTCGCCGCAAAGGAAATAAAATTCCTATTCAACCAACGTCATTAGCAAGAAGCAAAATGGAAGGAAAAAATATCTTTTCTGGAAGAAAATCTTTTAGACACAGTGAAAAAAAAAAAGCAGCACATTCGTTAAAAATGTGTGTAGAAAAAAACGTAGGGCTTGGTGATAATAAATTCCAAAAATAAGGTTTTTCTGGTTTTTTTTTTAATTTGTTGTTAGTAGTAATATTAATAAATTAGCCATTAAGTTTTTTAAGATCTTACTACCATCATAAATAATTTACTAAGAGATGTAAATAAATTAGTAAATTTTACTAAGCATCCTTGTGTCTTTTTTATTCTATTTAATCGGTTATGTATCTGAAGGCATGATTTTTGATTTAATTTTGATTTAATCCTTGTGTATGTTACAGACGCGAAAAATATAACACGATTTGAAAAATCGTTTTTTAAAAAAAAATATTTTTTATTTAAACATAGTTATAATTATGTCTTTATTAAATGAAAGCTAACATCAGACTGAAAAATGTAAAAAATAATCATTGTTAACACATGTATGCTGATAAAAGAAACTTGATCTGCCGGCTGGTGGGATTCTTAGAATTTCTGGGCATCTCGGCAGTTTCAGTGATATAATTCCTCCCTTCCCAGAGAGATCCATACAGGGTGTGGGTCGTTATTCGTCTTCTTCGGTATTGATATTTTGTGAAAGTGGCTTGTTGGGTGGCAGGTATTATCAATTTTTGATTTCTGGACGTCGATTGCCTAATCTTGAAAAACATGATGATGAGGGCAACAACACCCAATGTCCACAGTGGCGTATACCACAGATGAGTATTGTTTGAAGGGGGTTGAAGACTTATTTGACGAATTCGATTTTGTTCCTTCTGCAATAGGTGGATCTTGTTAAGGGGTATTTCATTAATATCGATTTTTCTGAAATGATTTTGACTGACTTTATTTATCTTAATTTCGGGTAGAAGTAAAGGCTGTCCATGAATAACGTCGATGTTATTTGAGTATCTGTTCTTCGGGGTTTGGAAACTGCAACCCTTTGGTACTTCCATAAAATAGGTACCTTTTAAAACTGCGAGATTTGACTTTGCACAGCTGATTTGGATCTTGGTTTCTCGAGGAAATACTGCAATATAGTGGGCAGAATTGATTGGTTCGATTACCTCAGAACTGATTTGGATTGGAGTAAGTTCACATGCAGGAGAGTCTTGATTATTCAATTGTAATATTTGGTGGATACAATCATCTGCATTAGCTTTGGCAATAGATTTCATGTTTGTGCAAAGTTCAGATTTTTGCATTCTTCGTCCTCGTACTCATAGTTATTTCCTTGTATTGCCAGAAAAGATTTGGAGGGGATAAGGATAGAGTTATTTTGGGTAGGTATTGAATAGAGGTGAAAGTAAGAATATATTTCTGGATAGGTTATAGGAAAGTGAATCACAAATACTATCCGATTGTTAGAATAATAAGAGTCTACTGTAATAACTTCATAATATTTATAAAAATTTTGTGGATCGGCACCGAACAATAAGTTACTTTCTGAATATGACTTTAATAGCAATTTTATGATAAATTCTAAATCTTCTATTTTTAAAATGCTATAGTGAACTGTTTTTAATCTCGCAAATATTATTGAGTTTTCTAAATTATTTAAGATTTCATTTAAAATTTTGAGAACTGCATGTACCTGGTCTAAGGCGTTTATTGCTAAAAAATATCCGGAAAAGTCGTTTACGAATTTTTCTAGTTCGTTATTAAGATCATTAATTTTTTGAGCCATTTGTATTTCGTTTTGCTTTATTAAAGATAGACTTTTGTTGTAATCATCGATTATTTTAGTAGTTAGGGATATCTGTTTATTTAGTGTATTTGCTATATCTTTTTGATTTGAATTTAGTAAGACAATAACGTCGTCGTATCTTTTGCCGTCTTCGGCGTCTAGGTTTCCCGAAATACTTTTAAATATTGTACCTAGACCGTTTAAGATTCCTCTTTTAAGTCTCTTATTAGAATGAAGGTAATTTAATTTTTCTTTGCATTGTTTTATGTTAAAGGAGATTGAATTTATGTTATTTTTAAGTTCGGATGTGAATACCGCATTTTTATTTTCAATTGTTAAAATTATATTTTCGAATTGATTATTTATTTTAACAAGTTCGGTTTCGATAGGGTATAAATCAAAATAATGGATAAAAGAATGGTATGTGGATTGTAATTTAGCATATCCTAATTTATATGGTAATATTCCAGGGTTGGATTCCAGACTCGTGATTCTAATTTCTTGGGCTGCGATAATCGTAGCCATGATGAGGAGAATGCTGTAATAGTACATTTTTTGATTAGATAAAATTTTTTTAAAATTATTTTTATAAAGTGTAGGAAAAACTTTTTCAAATGAATTCGGATCTTTTTGTTTTTTTATTGTATTTATTTTTACTTTGGGACGCTCTTTCTTTTTAAGATGACGACAACCGAATTGTAGACCATCTTTTTTGCGTGCTACAGATTTGTGGTACGCGAGGGTGACAGGATCATACGTTAAAGGGTTGTGAAGGGCTTCATTAGTTTTTTCTAATTTTTTACCATTTTGTTTAGTTATAAGTTCATTATGTCGTTTATAAATTCCGATAGTCATTTCTTTGTGATCTATCTTACTTAGATCATTAATTTCATGTTTGTCGCAATTATCTATAATGGATTCATTAGTAAAGTTATAGCTTTCAAAATTATTCTCAACTGGAATACATTTAATTGGGTATAATACAGTAGAATTTATTTCTTCGTTCGAATTGTTATAAATTTCGTCAGTTGCCCAACCGTTCATTGAAAATGTTAATGTACTCGGTATTGTACAATTACCGCTAGTTTGCTCTGGCACTAATATTTCTCTGGATTCAATAGTAACGGGGATTTTTTATCCGCGAAACAGAATTTCCAGGCAATAGTTTCGGTTTTATTTCTATTGGCGTGGAATTAAAGTAATTAATTGGCAAAGAAATATTATTATTTGAAATTATTTGAGCATTTGGCAAATCAATATGAATATTCAATGAATTTAATAAATCTATTCCTAATAGTCCATCAAATATGCAATTAAATTTATATACAAAAAATTTTATATTCTGTTTTGTTTGGAATTCTGGGAATGCCGGAATGGTTACTGAAAAGTTATGATTGGAAGAGCTAAAAGCAGTTGAAATAATAAATGGTTCCTTTATTTTAATTTTTGAAAAGTATTTATCAACAGCTTCTGGAGATAAAAATGATCGAGTTGCCCCGGTGTCTAATAAAAGTTTTAATGGTGGGTTATTTATTTCAATATAAGGTAATTGTCCTTTATCAAGTGAATTATAAAATTTCTATCATGGTTTCGGATTTGGGAGGCTGGGGCTCCTGAAAATTTTGGTAATTATCGCCAGAAGGAGAGTCTACAATTTCGTATTCGC